TTTATATTCTTGTTTTTGACTAGTGTCTGAAGGAACTCCGACTCATTAAAATAAGAAGAGGTCGGCAAGGAGAGGCGCACAGTTCGTTCCCATATGAATGCCGACAATTTGTTGAAAAAGTCTACCTCCAAATTTAACAAATATGTTGTTAATTAGAAAATCCAGCATACTGATCACTTGTTCCTCTGTGTAGCATGTTTTACCTTTTTGTTCATTTTTCACAAAATATGCCGTATGGTATCCCAAAGTAATAAATTTATAGCGTATGCTACCATTTGTATATTGAAAAGCACTGTGGATTATTTCTTTTAGACGATTTTTCATTTTCACATGGGTAATTGTGGTATACAGGGTTAAAAAATAAAAATGGAGTGCTTTGCAGTATTAGAATTACGTCAGATGCTGTGTTTGGTGTGATTAAAGAAAAAAATGGATACTGATCTGACGTCCGTCTGGGGTTCAAATTCCCCCTATTCGTAAATTGATTTATTCGAAAATCCCTACCAATATGACATCAAGATGAGTTTGTAACTGTACATAGTTTTTACAGACATTTTAAAAGATGAGGAATATTGACGACCCATTGTCACATTATTCATAAAATGCCACCCCATTGATAAGTATTGACATTTAAAAATATGACTCATACCACTGGCACTTTTGCGTATACCTTTATAAAACTTTAAATTTTTTCGAACAAATTTCTACGCCAGAAATAGATTACCTTAGTTGTTTTTGACAAAACCTTTCGGAATTTTTGGTCCTTAATGCTCTTCAACTTCATCCTTCATTTTGGCCTCTTTAACCTTTTTGATTTGAGCATCACTGATGAGTCTTTTGTAGACGAAACGCGCGTCTGGCGTACACAATTTTAATCTTGGTATCTTTGAGGATTTTATTCATATAGGAAAGAGTGCGCTTAACAAACAATGTGTATCCACCGCGTTGTAATTCATCGATCGGGTCAGTAACAAAGTATTGATATATCATGTCTCCTAAAAATCAAACAAAATAATTTCTTAGCAGCACAATTCTCTCTAAATTGTCATACGTCTGACGCATATAATATCTCCATATTTTCTTTAATAAGAAAATTGAAACAGCGGTGATAACAATTTCGAAACAAACTCTTTACAGGTCACGACGTAAAAACAGAATGAGCAGTGTCAATCCTAATAAAAAAAAACTTGAGAGAAACTTGTTTGAGAAGGTCTAACAAGCAATTATTGTACCACATTTACACCTGTCTTACTACTTACTGTAAATATCTGGTAGAAAGTTAGGAAATAACGACAGGAAGAGACTATGACAAACTGGAAACAAATATTGCACCTGACGAAAGCTGTCCATTAAATAATTTTTCATGAGTATTAAAAGGTAAGAAGTCGTACAGTTTAGATTTTTTAAAGATTAAAAGGGTAAAATCTTGTCTGAAGTTGTATATATAGTTCATAGTGCGTTTTCTGATATTCTACGTATTCTCTAGATTATATGGCCGTATCCATGTAGTCAAACCTACACGGGGATCTTTCCATGTCTTGATTTGGGCAACAGTTGTTTTATTTCGTTGGACACTTAAATTCGTGCATAAAGCCATCCGAGAAAACGACGAAAAGTGGTACCTTCACGAATAAAAGTACTTTCACAGTAATTCTTTCCTCATAAATAACCACAAACATCATCGGTTAACGATACAAGTGTTACGGACGTGATAATAAAACTTACAGATTAATCTTGGAAAATCAGACATGATTTCTTGTAATATTGGCTTAAATCATTTAAAAAAACGAAAATAAGAAAGAAAAAAAAAAGAAATTAGAATATCGAAGTAGCGACAATTTGACAATTTACTAATTAAAATATACTCCACTTATCAACGGACAGTGGATTTTGAATTCTATGAAAATTTGTTGTATTTGAAATTTTGCCCAGAAAGTAATAAATGCGCATCATAATAAGATAGCAACCTGAATAAAAAAAAAATAATGTAGAGGACAATATAAAGTCTTCAACATTTGACAAGATTCTATACAAAATATCAAGTTATTAATAGAGATTAGCAAAATTTTATATTTTCGATAATCTGGTTTAATTCAATCAAAATGTTTGGCTCACAGCAATATGTGGTATTGACGATAGGTGTGGCACATGGCATTTTGAAATTTGAATTACTGAATTAAAATAGAATATCTTTAAAATGTAAAACAAATACCTGCCGAATTTCACGATTTTCCTTATACATTCTATGTATTTTTTTGGCGTATCATACTGTTAATTTCAACAGCTCGTATCTCAAAAACGAAAACGGTTACCCTTTTTCTTAATTTATTATCTGGTGTATTTTTACAAGCAGAATACATCTGTGAAATTTTTAAAAAAATCTGTGGAGTAGTTAATTACGTACACTTCGTCATAACGTAAGAAGACAATATTTCATCCATGAAAAAAGAAAACAATGACAAAAAAAAAATTGGCACTTAAATTTTTAACGACCGAGACAGATTGCGGAAAATATTGATAAGAACTACCAAAACAAAACAATAATACCCAGAAAAAAATAATGTCAATTATTGGTTAAATTTAAATCTAAATAATTTTACTACATTACTTACAAAAATCTATTTTAACTTCCAAGTAAATATCCGTTATTTCTCAAAAACAATTCTGTAGATATTGTTATTTAGATATTTTACATTGTACTACCGTAATATGATACAGTCTATATGGAGAAAAAAAAAACTAAACACGAACAGGTTATTGTCTTTTTTCCTTAAAAATTATACTTAACTTTTTTTCTTCACGAGATTAAACACTTTTCGACATTTCATTATTTTCAATAATCATATTAAAACTTCAGTTATAATAGATAAGCAATAAACAATAAAACACCATTTTTTCATATCTTATTCGTCTAATTATTAATCTAAAGCATCGGCTAATATATAAGTTGATAAGTATCTGCATCAGTTCTTATTTTGTGGAGTACGAATGTTAAATGAATGCGGTAAATCCATAAACGAGAATAAAAAGTGATGGATTGTGACGACATGGGGAACAAAACTGTGGTCATCTGTGGCACAGACAGTTAATATCGGTCAACCAAATCTTTCATTAGTCCGTTCATTATTCCAGATATGGCTCACTTTTATCATGGAAGTAATAATATAATACCTCCATGATTTGACCAATATTTTTCAATAAGCATGAACCTTCTTTAAATATGAATATGCTGTTGGAAAGTTGATACAATAAGATGGGAAGTGCACAATGAGAAAATTATAGGTTTCATATAACGAGTGAGAATTTGATATAGCTTGATATCAACTCGAATTATTTAATTTCACTTCAATAATAAAAGAACCTTTGGCGAGCTTATTATTTTTATTGAAATTAATATTGATATTAAGCGATTCAAATTCCTACGACAGTTGTTTAACTATTTCTCGTATGGCAAAAATTATCTTTGTGAAAAAGAGATCATTTTGGGGAAAATTCCGATTTCGCAAGCTTCACTTTATACACAAGTCCGATTACATGTACAGTATTGAGAATTTTGACAGGAATCAAAACTGCTGTTAAAGCCGGTTGAACGCATCAGAATGGAACCAAATTAATGAAGAGAACATTATTTTAGTGAAAAATTTGAGTGTTTGTATGCTTTTAAAGAAGTAAAAAATCTCCACTCATTATATGTATTATCTGACTTATATGGCGTAAAAAAAAATTTCTGCATACAGTTTTAGGGATTGTATCCTTTTTTACCAATCAAATTGAAGTGGGATATTCTTTTCTTCAGCGTTTTTTTTTTTGGTATAATCACGCCTTACGGCTCATTTTGAATGTGAAATAAAACACACTAATTAATCTAGATATAAACGTTAGAAATCACTGTCCAGTTACAATATAAATATTACAGTGATTGCATGAAGTAAGAAGCAAATAAATTGTAGGATGATGACAAATACAGCTCACTTTGTAAATAATTTATCATATAACCTATATAAAGGGGGTGCTATCTTTTTCGTTTGTTTCACTACAATTTTATCACGGAAAAGCAGATTATTTTTTTCGACAATTTTTAGAAAAAATGTTTTTCTCTTTTGTCTGGCAATACAATTTTTTTCTTAAAAAATTGAGAATCAGAGTCAAATATTATACCCACTTCTTTTAAAGAACATGGCTGTTCCCCTATCTAAGATATGAATCTTTTGTCGTCTAATAGAGTAAATGGTTTTTATTTCAGTCGAATAAACGGAGGAAATGATTGTTTCTGCGTAAATTTAATGTTCAAGATAGAAAATTGTACAGTAAAACTCTAATTGTCAACAACACACGAATGAAATGTTTAAGTACTCTGTATTTTGCATTTTAATCACGGTAAATAATGACCTGATGCAGGTCATTATGTTATGCATTGAAGCACATTTCATTGAAACTTGGTAACGTCCAGGTTGATTTTTTCAAAAGAATGACCTAATCAGTGACACTTATTAGTTTCCACAACTAATTCCCACCACCTTTAGAGTAGATGTAGTTACTCTGAGATGTTCATACAATTATAGTTGCTAGCTATTTGGAATCCATGATACATCAAGCAATAACAAGTTTTTTTCTATGGACACTTATGTAATTTTGTGTCGAGTACAGAGAAGATAATGTTATAGAGGAGAATGAAGATGGGTCAGTTTCAGCAAACTTATTGAATGAAACGAAAAAAAGTTACAAGCCGAAGTCTTTTTCTAGCAAGCAGCTTTTTATTAACTTAACAATACTGTTTTAAATTAGGCCGTTAGTTTTCTTTGAATTGCTTCACATTTTTCATGCCTGGGCCTTTTATAGCCGACTATATGGTATGAGATTTTCTCATTGTTGCAGGCCATACCGTAGCCTATAATTGCTTACATCCACTTCATTTGAACTCTAGTGGATAGTTGTCTCATTGGTAATCATACCACAACCCCTTGTTTTTATATTAAGATACTTAAGAAAAACTTTTTTTTAACGTTTTTTATTTTTGTTTTAATGCACACTGATTGCATATCAGCTTTTGCTTTCTTCTTGTCTAAGGTTTCATCAGTTTTGAGTAAGGAAGATAACTGGATCACTGTAATGAAAAGATATGATACATTTGTTCATTAATTTAATACTGTTTGAATATTACAGATGTCCTGCATTAGAGAACACTATTTGGGTCTGAATTACACAAATATTTATATGTTGTATCCTGTAACATTTAAAAAAAAACCACATACAATGAAATTGTGATTCGTTTTCTATGGTACCTAAACCAATTAAATAAACTGACATTTATTTTGGACAAATTCAATTCACAAAAACGATCAGTTCCTCATAAACTAGTATAAAACTGTTCAATTCAAAATCATCTAAAACTGCTGACTTTGCATTAAGTAAGTAATGTATGCAGCTAGTTTTCTTACCTGTACTTTCTCACAGATATATCCAATACCCCATGTAGTGCAGCCAGCATCATTCCATTTATCCATACCTCTCCAAAAGTGAGCACAATTCTCTTTACCTCCTGCATTGTCTGGTTGATTGCGACTCCAGCTGAAATACTTCACATTGGACGAGTCATGTGTCCATCTCCATCTTCCCCCATGAACTTTTGTCGCCCCAATCCAATAGCCATAATGATGTTGGACCGATTCTGTGGGGGAAATTGTTTATGCTAAATAGCTAATAGTGTTTTGTTTGAGCTATTGTAAAACATACAACTTTGAACTATGAATGATCATATTTTGCATTTTGCATTTTATTTTTATTAATGTTACAAATGTATACAATAAATATTATGTATGCTATGTAATTGTTTAAACCAGTCTTCTCAGTACCGTTAAAAAAGAGAGAAAACATAAAAAGGCAACAAAAAAACACAAAGTCTAACAAAAACAGACAACATCACGATCAAAAGAAAAACGACGAAAATACGAACAACAAAAACAAAGGCTACACAAAAAACCAAAGATTAAGTAACAAGAACCCAACCAAAAACCCGGGAATAGTTAAGGTGCTCTGGAAGGGTCTAGCAATTCCTGCCTCATATGTGACGCTCGTCGTAATACTCATTAATCATTGATAAGTCATATTCATAGATTAAGAATCTAACAGAAAAAATGTGTCCAGAAAACCCAACACAGACAAACAGAGCTGAACTGAATGTTCTTGAAGAACAAGCAGTCCCTGCTCCAATAGTTGCATCCGGCATTTGCTCATATCACGTAAAAATCAGAGGAGTTGTTGTGGTACACTAACAAGAAGTACGGCATTGTTGCCATGACATACGGAACAGATCATTGGTCATCTGTGAACAGAAAAATGTTGGCTTCCGTAATATTTTCGAATAGATGACTATCTTTTATTTCTCAACTTTGTATGCTTTTAATTTTGTCATATGGAGGTTCCTTGTTAGTTACTATACGGTTGGGTTTTTTTTTATCATTGGTGATGTCCGTACAGTGACACTTCCATACTTAAATCCATGTCATTTTGACTCTAGTAGATAGTTGTCACATTTGTTATCATACAACATCTCCTTAATTTTATTTTAACTCACTAGTATGCATGTTTGCAAACCATGCATTTTCGGAAGAATCCGTTATCTGTACTAGATATCCACCCATAGTTCTGCATCGGATCTAAAAGGTATGTAAAACACATTATTGATAAGTTCGAGCGATTAGTAGATCGTACCAGAGAGCAATTGTTATAAACTATTTGATATTAAGAATGTTCGCTCCTCTTTTGCTAAATAACAAGCTTTTTAAAAGACTGTTATAAATTGATAGCATATATATATATATAACAGAAATTTAAAAAAAAACGAGGTTTTTGTTTTTGTTTTTGAGATATAAGTCATTGAAAATTTTGCGGGAAATGATTCTCTCTATATTTTTCTTACATTTAATATCGGCATCTTTTTCTTTCAAAAACTATGAAAAAATAACAAGGACTTTATAAGATTTTCAAAAATGGATTTTTAAACTATATGCAATAAAATTATTAAAAGAAAAGTAGGGGTTAGCGGGTAAAATTTAAAATGGAACCACAAATATAAAACCAGCTAGCTAGCGGATTCCGAATATCTGACAAAACGTCAAAAGCAAGAGTAGCGAACATCCTTAACATCGATATTTAAAGTTCGAAGTAATATTCTTAATATTCTCAATGACAGAAATAGTGACACAATTATAAAAATGCTGATAACTTTGTTATATTGTTGATACAAAATATAGAATTATGTAGTTTACAGAAATTTGCTGTATTTGCTATTATAAATTTCATCGTTAAAAACATGTGCCTATCTTGATAGAGCACACATGTTAAATGTAGGAATGAAGCGTTCACCGTTATTTTGACAAATATCCAAAAGTTATCGAAAACAGTAATAATGTTGAAGATTAGCAATCTTATCAACCTGTCGATCTGTCGATCTATGTAATTTAAATGTCGCGTATCCTATGTAGTGATTACTGGCAAAGCCGAATCACAACCGGTTAAATGAGCAGGAACTATTTTACCCTATACCCTATTTGATCCGCAAAATCTATTTATTGTGATTTCAATACCAGACAGAGCGGAAAGAAACGACACAATGAGTACTTGACTTGTCTTCAACATTATACACTTGCTAAACAGTTTATATGTACACAAACCTCGGCTCCATTCCAAGTGTTGGTGTTAGATGAAAAATGATAACAATGATTCTTGTACCCCTTCCATCCTGATGGGCATGAAGTGGATTGTCCTGTGGGAATCCTAATTGCTTAAATAAATATAGAAGGCGTATAAATACACACATTACAGTATTACGCATTAAGTGTTCTTGATTACTAAGAATACGATAATCTGAGCAAGGTTAAGTATTAACAAAATAATTTTTCATTGAAAATAAATGACGTGTACATGTATCTTTAAAATGATACAAGTTATCTACTCTCCAAAAGACAGGTGTAGCTAGCACAAATACTTTAAAAAAAGTGTGTCAGCTTTTTCCTGATTATTTATTAGTTTAATTTCAAAACTTAAGATTTATCTCATTTCGTTATTGGAATTTTCTAAACTACAGCTGCTTACATTATAACTAACATCATGTCTCGTATCAATTTGTTTCTTCTTCTAGCTAATGGAAGATAATTTAATGATTTTAGTAACTTGTCATAATTGGTTATAAATATTTTAACTTTTGTATTATACAATCCGAGGTTGATGATATGCATACCTATTTTTAGGTACGCATAACAGAATAAGTATGACCTTACCTTTCAAACTGTCTTTCAAAAATCCAATGTGGACTCAATACTTGATATAAGTGAAGTTTCTTTCGGTCCAAAACAAGTTTCTGATCTGATCACAGAAGCACAACTAAGAACGACAAATAAGGTGAACAGCGTCATCCTGTTAATTACTTGGAGACTAAAGAAAACAATATACAATGTATGTAATTGTTTTTTTTTTTATTTTCAATTATTTGTTTAATCATGTAGCCATGTCATTCTCATAGGGATTATATAGGCATATAAAAACTATATACACAATGTGCAACAGTATAAATAAGAAGCTGTGGTATGAGTGCCAATGAGACAACTTTCCATCCAAGTCACAACGTATAAAAAGTTAACAGTTATAGGTTAAAGTACGGCCTTCAAACAGGGTCATCTTTGAGTTATTGTTCGAAAACTGGAAAATACCCCTTCTTATGTATAAATCCAATAACTCGAAAACGCAAAATCAAAAATTTATAAAAATTGTCAATAGATATAAACAATTCACCAAAGTTTCATGAAAATTGGTTTTTTTAGTTATTGTCAGACATGTTGACGACGGACGGACAGACGAACGTACGGAAAGTCAGGATGATAACGGTATACCATTATACGTTCCGTGAACGGAAGTATAAAAAGACATAGCTTACAAAATATAGTTAGTTCAAAGCCAATAACAACCAATAAATGAATCAAGTTAAAAAACTTTCCCAAACTAAAACACTATTTTCAACTGATCAGATATAATAGTGCTTGGACAAAATTGATCTAACTTATTCCGTAAACAAAAACGGTATAAGTAGCTTAATTATGGATAAAATAGAGCTTTGCTTCTCAATTTGTTATTGTGTGCTTCCTAGCAAATTGTCAATGTATATATGAACAGAGCAACTTATTGTTTACAACTGTACACATTTTTCCTAAACCCATTATCTTTTTCATTTAAACAACAAATTTGCAAACATAATTATGAAACACAAAATATATGTATTACAGGGTTTCAAAACATTATAAATAGCGAAAGGCATTTAAATTTTAGAAACAGTAAAAAACCACAAACCTTGTTATTGTTGATTTCTTCGTGCTGAAGCGAGGCTAAAGGATTATTACGGAACAACTGAATTTGTATCATCAAAAGGTAACATGAGAAGTATAACCTTTAAATGTTTTCCTGTAACCTTGTAATATGTTTCTGTATCAAATTACGGGGGAAAAAACCGCAATATGCTGCTTTATTGTGCAAATACTGTGAATTCAATTCTAAGAAGTGACAACATACTTTTGGAAGGACTTTCCCCAAAAACAAACAATGGAAACATGTATAGAGGTCAAATGGTATCCAGAGCCTCAATATGACTTATTAACTTAATTGGTACCGAATGAACCTAGATAAGGTTACTTTTAAATCTCGAGTCGAGCATACTGGAATCAGTATCTACGAGTGTACATGTAAATGTCACAAAAAGTCGAATGAAGCACACAACCAATCTGCCAGTTCTTTAGAACAAAAAATACGCATAATAATAAAGGTTTTTTCCCTCAATAATCAAGTAGTCCACTGATCAAGATAAGGATCGAAAACTGAGTATTATTTAAAAAAAAAAGACCTTTCTGGGTTTCAACCTTAATTTTAGAATATGATAAATAAGTTTAAAACGGAACTTTTACTTCAAAAAATTATTACTAGTATTTATAAATCATACAAGTACAAATGCGTTTTACTTGGAGTACTCAGAATCTGACAATCGACTATCATGCATCAGCGGAACTAGTTCGTCGTTGGTTGGAAATACACTTATAAGAATAATTTCCGTGAGCATGACCCGTGTTTTAGGCTAACCATCGCCCGCTAGAATAGAGACACAAAATTTGGGAAGTTAAAAATTTAAATCTTTTGAGAGAGTAAAACAAAAACGATTAATCATACCACATCTCCTTTATTTTTATATTGAAAGACCAAAAAATACATATCTAGAAAAAAAACAGCTCCAACCGGTGATAGTCGTCGTCTCGAGCTCCCGGTAAGGTTTGGGCGTTTTTGTCGTGTTAAAAGTCTTGCTCTGACTTGGTAAGGATGAACAACAATAAGAGTGTTTTCGTTTGGTTTAGGTTCTGTCAAGTGCGTGAACTGATTTTGTGTCATTAACTTTTCTTTTTTGTTTTCATTTGTTACCAAGCCTTATCCGTGCGATTACTTGAGAACCGTTAATAAAAGCTATTCTTTTCAAATTTTCATATGTTGTTTCTCAGTACAAAATCGAGGTTCAGGTAATATGCATATGGGTGTCTATCGCCATCTTAGATCGTAAAATAGAAGAAGACAATTGGTCTAGAGTTTTATAGATATAATAGCAAATGAAACTTACACTATTTAAATGTCATGCATCAGAATCGATTTTCTAGATCAACCTTCATCAGGGATGATCAAATACAAACATGTATAAGGCAGGATGTATAAATACATAGAAACGTCAGGAGTTACAAGACCACTTTTTGGGCATGTGTGCAATTCATTTGTACGTTTTCCATACAAATGAAGAAAATTGAGTGATTTAAATTTATTATACCGACTATTTTCCCAAATACAAATTTTTGGTTGATTAAAAAAAATTTAACTCAGCCTTAAAAGGTGCGAAAACTCAGATAATTTAATTTTTATAAAGGAATGTACCTTAATTTTTGTTCTCAGAGCTTTCTTCTCATTTTGTTTTCAAAATTCTGTCATTTATTGGACCAGTTTGCACATCAATAACCTCTAGGAAAAATGTTTTTAATCATACAATTCTTACAAAATGTGTCCATTTTTCACTGCCTGTAACTCAAAAACAGGCTCGGTGACCTGTACGTTTTACTATTATAGTAGTTTTTTTTATAAATAACACAATATGAAAAAAATGTATTATTCTTTGTTTGACCCCCCCCCCCCCCCCCTCCCCCCCCCCCCCCTTTATACTACCAGGATAAGTTGGACTTTGTCTGTCAGTAAAAGTAAATTTAGTTTATTTTTAAAAAATAAAAATATCGCTTTACATGTTTAACAGTAAATGTGAACGGAATTACGGAATTAATCCTTTTCAATTTTTTTCTTTGAGGACAAAATGAAAGTCTACTTGATCTACTTGCGCTTTTCAGGAGTTAAGGTCCTTGGTTACACTAAAAATGACATAAAGATGTAACGAAAATCTTTAAGCTGTCACTTGGACACCCTCTTGTCATGATTCTTTGAAAATTTAAACAGTATATTTTTTAACACTTTGCCAAAATGTAGCTTATATCATGCTATTTGTTAAAAAATATGATAGAAAGAAATGGTCACGGATTTTTTTAAAGCTACAGGTTGTGGAAAAAATTGTCCGATTTTGTACAGGTTAAATGATATGTATCGAGAAACAATTTTGTTTGAATAGAAAGAAAAATTAAATGACAGAATTTTGAAAAAAAATATGAGAAGATGGCTATTATATTGATCTTTAAAAACTAAAAAGAAAGAATTGGGTTCACCGTACCGAGTTAACACATTTATAACCTACGTAAATTAGCTTTCATCACTTATAATTGCAGTTTAATCCATAGAAAATTAAAACACTTGCAAAGCTATGTCGCATGCGAGTACAAAATGTGTAACTATCGTAACGTCATGAAACGGGATAATAAATATTTTTAAAAACTTTTAGGTTGCTTTGACGCTCCCTAAGACTAAACACTGTTTGTTCATACCGTCCTATGTACCAGTAAAGTCGCTTCTACATGCAGCTAAGCGTGCAGGAAAGCGATATAACAGATACATGCGTTATATCTTGCATAAATCGACATATCTAAAATGAATTTCGAAGTGGGCGTTCAAAACCTGTTAAAAATCGGGTAATACCCTGTCAGAAAAAAAAACTGAATTGTAATAATACGTCAAAGAGAGGGACGAAAGATACCAGAGGGACAGTCAAACTCATAGATCGAAAACAAACTGACAACGTCATGGCCAAAAATAAAAAGACAAACAGACAAATAATAGTACAGATGACACAACATAGAAAACTAAAGACTAAGCAACACGAACCCCAACAAAAACTGGGGGTGATCTCAGGTGCTCCGGAAGGGTAAGCAGATCCTGCTCCACATGTGGCACCCGTCGTGTTGCTTATGTTATTACAAATCCGGTAAATAGTCTAATTCGGTAAGTTACATTCGTGAAAAGGGAAGGGTATTGTAGTTACGACATAAGGAACATATCCGATATCATCTGTGAAACGGTTATTCCATAACGGTCAACCAACTCGTGATGGCGTCCGTAAAATTTACGAAGGGATGATTTCAACTTCACCATTTGGAACTCTTGGCTTAATAGCTTCCTTGTGAGCAGCAATCCTCTATCAAGGAAATCATGATAGGAAACACAAGCCCGGGAATATCGTATCAATTGGGAGATATATACTCCGTATGCAGGCGCTGCTTGAATGTTGCTACATAGAAATGGAAACTTCACAATTGGGAAGCTGAAATCATCTCTTTTGTCGTAAAGTTTTGTTTTCAACCAACCCTCATTGTCAATTTCTAGATGTAAGTCAAGATATGAGGCAGACTTAACTGTATCTGTAGTATCCTTTATCTCTAGTTCGATGGGATAGATTCGTTCAACATAGTCACCAAATTTTGTATTATTTAGTGAGAGAACATCATCTATATAGCGGAACGTAGAGTTAAAGGATATTGCTAACTTCTTCCTAAGAAGTTCCTGTATGAAGTCAGCCTCATAATAATAAAGAAACAAGTCAGCAAGAAGAGGGGCACAATTGGTTCCCATTGGAATTCCGACAGTCTGTTGAAAAACACGTCCTCCAAACGTAACAAATATGTTGTCAATCAAGAAATCAAGCATCTTGATAATGTCAGTTTCAGAGAATTTTTTGTTTGAATCAGAGTGATTCTTTACAAAGTAGGATTTATCCCTCCCCAAGACAAGATACTTGTATCTACGTTCGCCATTCTTTTTAATGAAACAAAGTAATACCAACTCTTTCAATTTGTCTTTTAGTTTGAAATGGGGAATACTTGTGTTAAGTGTAGAAAAGTCAAATGTTTTAATACTATTGCAAGATGAGAGAGTCTTAGATTGTATGTACTCTAAAAGATCTTTG